AACGACCATGTGACTGGCAGAGGTGGGTTTCACATGATTTTACAACTGGTTTGCTGCACACTGAAACTGTGAGCGTGTGCACCCAGCCTTCCACGCATGTGGCTTGCATGCATGCACGTGGCTTAGAAAATGTGGCTAAATAGGATGGCATAGCGCCGGGGTGGGTGGATTAACCCACAGGTCAACTAGTACCAGCTTGGCTGAACCAGTCCGAACCAGCTGAGTATCACCACTGGTGACTAGGGGATGCTATAACTCCACAGAATTCAGGTAATGACCATGATTGAGACTGCCATAAGTTGGACCAGTCATGTGACATTGTGCCTTATGCCTGAGTCACTTAGTAATGGGTTTCCTGATTCCAAAACAAAGACTTCCTGTTTTCTTCCTGTTCCCGAACAAGGAATACCTTGTTCGGGAACATTAATCCCAAGGATGAGTTGAGATGATGTATCAGGGCTGAATGCATTTTGATCCAGGCTGAATTTTTGGAAGGCTTCCCATTGTTTTATTTTCTTCTTTCCTNGTCCCTTGGCTATTAAAGGGGCTCGGTCACAAATCAGTTATAGTAGTGTTTGTTCCATTCCAAGAGGAAAGACAACATGAAAAGCTTGTCTGGCAGATTTATTGATTACATTTCACCAGTGACCAGCAAGAAGCAAACACTCTGAAAAATCCCCAAAGGTGATCATTAGCACTGAGTAACTGTCACTGAACATTAGCACCAGCAGCAGACTGGAGCAAAGGCAAAAAAAAAAAAAGCACAATAATTTAAAGGCAAGATTATCTCTCTCAAGAGAGAAGAGAAAGTCCACTTGCATTAGGCAATGCTCTTTGCAGGAAGGGAAGCACACTGACACAACTGCTTAATGCATCTATGTAAAGCAACACTACACGGATCAGACACTCCTGATCACCAGACAGATCCAACCCTCTCACCTGTGGTGGGATTCAACTGGTTTAATAACTGGTTTGGGGAGTGTGTACTTCACGCTCCATCCCCTGCGCCACACCTCCCCACAGCCCATTTTGAGTCCAGGAGGACTCTTTGAAGCCTCCTGGGAGCGAAAACAGGCCATGGGGGCCATACACCCTATGGCCCATTTTGGGCCTAAGAGGCCCCCTATACTTACCAGGGGCTAGAATGGGGCATGTGGGAACTCCTGAGAGGGGCGGGGTGGGGCCAGCTGGTTGTTGAAACTGCCCATTCGCTGAACCGGATGTAAAATTAACATCCAGTTTCCCTGAAGCAGTCCGAACCGGCTGAATCCCACCCCTGCCTTTCGCCATATATGTTAACAGTTACCAGAATGCAAATATTATGATCATGCCCAATTCTGCAAAGTCAATCAGATATTGCTTATGGATCTCACCAGTTAAAGCCATGTCAATGAATGAACAATTTCCAGAAGAAACAGCTGCACTGCAGCAGATATAATGACATTTATGGACTACAGTGCACTTCCTAGATATGTTAAACATTGTTCTAGTTCAGGGGTGTTAAACTCACATCCCATGCACCACCCATGCCCTGTTTAGTTGACACCTCTGTTCCAGTTGGTGAAAGGCCATTTAGATGATAGCACATAGCTGATCTTGGCTAACCTCACATAAAGTAAATAGGATCAGAGCCAGTTTAATACTGGAACTAGAATTAACCAGGAAATAATAGGTATATAAGCTCTTGAAAAACACCCAAGAAGGTAGCAGCAAACTATTCTGTCTCATTGCTGAGAAATGTATATAGTTTATAAGATCTACTTGAAAGAGACTTTACTTTCAAAAACTTGGGGAAATAGCGATAGCAATAGCAATAGCAGTTAGACTTATATACCACTTCATAGGGCTTTCAGCCCTCTCTAAGCGGTTTACAGAATCAGCATATTGCCTCCAACAACAATCCAGGTCCTCATTTTACCCACCTCGGAAGGATGGAAGGCTGAGTCAACCCTGAGCTGGTGAGATTTGAACAGCCGAACTGCAGAACTNTAAGTCTACTGCTATTGCTATTGCTATTGCTTTCCCTTTAGTTCCCAACATTGGGAGAAAGCTTCGGACAAAAAACAGTCTCAAGGAAGATGTGAATCTACATATATTGCAAAGAGCGAACATTTTCTGGAACCCTTAATCAAGGAATCTGAGTGGGTTCTAAACTCCCCCTCCCTTTCAAAACTGCCCTCCCTTGAAAGAGGAGGAAGAAAAATGCTATCAGCAAACATTTGCAACCCTCTATGTATACTGTCTATCCGCCCTTATATGTTTTCATACAGTTCTGAGATATTGGCAATTATTATTTAAGTCAAAAGGGAAAAAGAAGAATAATTTACACCATCCATCATTGTTTCCTTGTATGAATAAATTACAAGACACCGCAGCAAATCAATTGTGGGGAAAGAAACAGCCCATGCCAAACACCGTGCTTATGTGTATAATTTCCTTAATGTTTTCCATCCTCATATATCAAAAATACAGAATGAATTTGGCAAACCTGATGCAGGAGAAAGCTCATTATGCCAAAGTCTCACAGCCAGTCCACATAATAAGAGAGAAAAAAGGAATGTCTAATCCTCTAGAAGTAGCAATAAGATCTGTGGGGCCTGATTGTCCTTCCCAATTTCTTTTACCAAAGAGGTTCATACAGTAGAAAATAACCTCTTACGTGATGAGATTTAGAACTCACAATTTCACAGTTCATGGTTTGTGTAGGAACTTTCTTAAGCAAGGGCTGATTCAAATCTACTCGAGGCCGTATGTGAAAAGCTGCCTTCTAACAGATCAGATTTTCCATCTAAACCAGTATTGCCAAGGGACCGGTCCCCTTGAGTCCTTTTCATTGAGAAATAAAAAGATTTCTCCCATCCCCTGCCTGGTCTTGTTTAAAACACTAAAGAAGCTGAGGATTACTTTTGAAGGAAACATGTCCATTTCTGTCAAGATGCAGTCCCTACATCAATGGAATCACAACCCTGCCAAAATTTTGAAGAGAGAGATTCATAAAAACTATAGAATAATCTCTAAAATAAACTTAACCTTGTCAATGATCCAGCAATTCAGCACCTTCCCTGCTTGACAGCTCTTTATACGGAGCTGTCAAGCAGGGAAAACCAATAGGCACGCCCCTAGCAGCCCACGCTTAGCCAAGCTGTGTCTTGGCCAATCAGGATGCGGCTTGGCTGTTGTTAGCTGCTAGGTTGTAAGTCGAGGACTTACCAATATTCAACAATCCAGTTTCACATGCTTGCTTTATTCTGCCTCCAATAGAGCATCTCATTCCCCACAAAATGTCCTATTGCAGTGAAGGCTAACCTTTTTGTCATTGCACGCCCCACCCATAATGCAATGAGTGTGTGACACCCTCCCCCCATGTTCCCCACCCCCCTAAGCATGCATGGTGACCCCCCAAATTCTCCCCCCCGCATGCTTGTGAAACACCCCCTGCGTGACCTCCCAAGGCCTGTTTTGGGCCTAGTATGCCCTGAAGTCTTCTGGGAGCAAAAATGGGCTGGCGGCAAGTGCATGCACATGCGTGGTGGAGCTGAGTTGGGGTGATGGATCACATGCCTGTGGCACATGTGCCATAGGTTCGCCATTACAGTCCTATTGTCTCTGTCCATGAAAAGTTGCCCATCCCAGTTAGTATGAAAGATACATTTTGTCAGACAGTGTTTCTCAACCTTGAATGCTGGCTGGGGAATTCTGGGAGTGGAAGTCCGGACATCTTCAAGTTGCCAAGGTTGAGAAACACTGTTCAAGAGTATTTACTAGACTTTACGGCATGCATGTACTTTGTGCATGTACAGCACTACTTCTACCTTTGAAGTCTGAAGAGAAAAACTCCAGTGATGACTCCATTTTGCCAAAATACAGCAATCTCATGATTTACAATGAGATTACATTTTTCTGACCACCTCCTACACATTTCCTGCTAATACTAAATCATACATCACATGCACATTAAAATTGGGAGATAATTTATGCAAGGTGTATCAGTTAATATTAATCAGATGTTAGGCGTGCTCAATTTTGAGTTCTGGGGATATTTTATGGCTCCTTAGAACAATAGGTTCCTGTTTTTCAGTCCAGTTTGCCTTTCCTGTTATCTCATTCAGTTATCTTTCCCTAGCTAGCCATTTCCTCTCGCAGCTGTTTTTACAGCTTGTATTCTTCCTTTTTCCACTTTGAAGACCTAGCTAATTTTTGCCTACTTGTCTATCTTATAAACTGCCTTTATGCTACCATTTCCTCACTCCCGTCCATTGTAGTTTCTTTGACAGGCTTGTTTCTCCACTCAGTAAGGTTCCACTACACAGCAGGTTCAATTTTTCTTTCGATATTAAATTTTAAAGACCATTCACTTTTTCCTATCACCTGCTCCTCAACCACTTTGAAACTCATCAGATTTGGTACTCAACACGTTCTGATGTGAAAATTTTTTCCCAGTACTCATTGTTTATTTGCTACTCAGTGCATAAGTTAGAACTTGTTCATATTGTCTGTCTTGTAATTCACTACATTATTCCTTAGGGGAAACATTTGTTTGGTACTTATCATTTTTGGTATTCATTGTGCCTCCTGGAACCAATTAATGATGAGTCCTGAGATACTACTGTACAAGATTTACAATGTAGAAGTTCCCCACACATTTTCCTCTTCTACAAGGTATCTTACCTTCAACTGCAGGTAGAAATAATTATCTAGCAACACTTTTTGTTGAGAAAATTTGCACTGATTCTTCTTTTGTTTTAAGAAACTGCAGAAAACCTGACTAGAAAAGAGAAAGCAGTCCAAAGATAATTGTATATACGCTAATTTGACTCATTTTCATATGAAGAGTACATTGCTGTAATTTTATAAACATTGGGATATGAAGAATTTGTCTGTCTTTCTTTCTTTTCTTTTCTTTCCAAAAGAGAGCCCTTTTTTATGTTAACCACCAATAAATCACAACCAGGAGGTGAGTCCATTTTGCACATAGCGGAAGGCTCATTCCAAAGACTTACCATGTGGTGTTTCTGATTGTGTGGAGAGGCGGTGATCTGTGGCATCCAGCCATGTGCCAAACTGGGTGTTACAACGCTCCTGCAATCGGTGTGAGATCCTGGGAAGCAGGGTATGAACCCATCCTGAATTCTCTGCTGTTGAACGACAATAACAATAAAAACAAAATATTACTGTAAGAGAATAAATATCCAATCTTACAAAGGCGCCTTTTCAAGAAACAACTGGACCTAAATGATTTTATAAATGATTTTCTAATTCAAAGAAAAGCCAGAAAGTCCAGTTAAAAAGAGCACTTTTGGGACAACTATAACCTGGATGACTGACAATCTCCATAGACATCCAAACTTACAGAAAATAGCTATTAGCAATAGCAGTTAGGTTTATATACCCCATAGTGCAGTGATGGTTAACCTTTTTGTCGCTGCCTGCCGAAAGCATCCACTCGCATATGCAAGTGTGCATGTGCATATGACCCCCACATGCACGCAGGTCCCTGCGCATGCATATGTAACCCCCGTACTCCGTGCCGCATGTGTGACCCCGTGAACGTCTTGCCCCCATGCATGCACATCTGTCCCCCACATGCGCCCCACCCCCATACATGCACGGCAGAGACCCGGAAACCAGCTGGTCGGCGGGAGGTGCACACCGTGGCAAGAAAACAGTGCCATGAAGATAGAATTATTTTTTTCAATAATGCTTGACTTTTGACCACAATTGGGACCAGAATTTCCATTGTTAAGCAAGGTGGTTGCTAAGTGAGCGGCAGGTAAATTTATGATATCTTTTCCATGGCTGTTAAACAAAGCATTGCAATTATTAAGTGAACCAGGAGGTTGTTAAATGAATCCTGCTTCTCCCATTGACTTGGCTTGCTGGAAGAAGGCTGGGAAGGTTGCAAATGGTGTTCATATGATCCTGGGTAGCTGCAACCATTGTAAATACAGTATATGTTGTTGCCTAGTGTCTGGATTTTGTTCTTGTGACTTTGGGGAGGTTATAAGTCAAGGACTATCTGTACTATAACAGCTACAGTACTGTAGGAAGTTAGCACCCACCCTTCCCTTTCCTAAAAAATGAAATATTTTAGGAAATATTAAAAAAGCAGAATATTATATCTCCCTGGATGAGAAAAGGAGAAGCATGTTTTTAAAGACAAAGCATCTTCCTGCAGCTTCCTGCCCCCCCATCTTTGTCAATGGGCCATTAAACCCTGAGCTAGTCTATTCTACATAACAAAGGTAGGATTAACCCTCCACATATCTCACTCTACAACTTCAGCCAGCAAGGTTCAAACAAGCTTGGGTCTTAGGACAGCCTATAAAGTTAGTTAAGACCCCCCCCCCCGAGTCTAACAACCAATCAGAATACATTTCTTACACAGGGACAGGGACAGGAACAGGAATTGGGGCCCATGAGGGTATAAAACTCAGGGCTCTCAGCATCTTAACCCTTTTTTTTCTTCACCCAACATCTTGAAGCATGTGATCGCCTTCCCTGCCCGCCCCCCAGGACCTGATCTGGCCTCAGATCCCTTTTATCTGAAAGTGATTCTTCCTCTTGACCTACATGCCATTGCCCCTGCCCTCTATACAGAAACTGGCTGTTTCTGATCATTCTAGAAACAACCCTGAATGATAAATGATGGTCTGAGCTCTAAAGATGCTACATATCGAGTTCAAAATATTTCAAATGCTAAATGTTTTGTAAAAACGTGATTGCCCTTTGGGAGGAGATCATGAGATGTGGAAACTCAGGCCAAGGAGATGCTATGTAGGCAGAATTCCGAAAAATAATAATAGGTGGGTTTAAGAAAAAATATCTCAAAGGAAAAGTACGAAATATTATCGAGACAGAAACAATTCAACATGATCATGTATAGTAGTGTCAACATCAGGCAATGGAACACTAGAAAGATGGCTCAAAACACAATAAAATTTAGGAGCCTTGTTTTTCTGAAGTGGAACAAAACAAAAATTTGAGTTTGTGGGAGGCTGACTCTGTGTGTGTGTGTGTGTGTGTGTGTGTACTTCTGGGATCCCTCTTCCTCTCTCCCCCTCTCTCTCCTTCCATCCTCTCTCTGTTTCTTTCTGTGTTTATATGCCTAGGAAGAAAGACAGAAAGAAGACACCTCACACTGTCAATCTATTAGATGAAAACTCAGTGTGAGTTCTTAATTCTTTGTCTATATCCTTTTGTCTTCTTTTTTCCCTTGAGTTTCATATACTTTATTTACTACTATCTTAATATACAATACAAATGAAATTAAAGACAGGAAGAGGACATAGAAAAATAGGGAAGGCAAGGGGAAAGTGAACTGAGGAAAAGAAAAAAAAACAGTGGCTTCAAAAAACTTTTGCTGTTTTAGAGGACAAAATGAACTTTCTCTCTCAACTTTTTATTTAATTAGTACGTACCGTGTTTTCCTTAAAATAAGACAGTGTCTTATTTTCTTTTGACACACCCCCAATAAGCACTTGGCCTTATTTTCGGGGAGGACTTATTATTTTTAAGTTGCAGGAGGTGACGAGCGGGGTTACCTCATGGCTGCTGCTGTGTTGCAATATTTTTGGGGAGGTCTTATTTTCAGGGGGAAAGGATACTTGTCAATTCTATAACAACAAGCTAATCTAATCATCAAAACAGTCAAAATTACTCTCTTTTCTGTTTTGAGCACAAAGTCTAGAAGCATTCTCTTAGTAGAAACAAAGCTAGAGACATTCTTTTCCTTAATTACAACATTAATTTTGCTATCTCTGCCACTTCCGTTCCTTTTTACATCCATTCTTCCATAGTGGGAATTGACATATCTATCCATTTTGGCACATGTAAAATTCTCATTGAAATTCTTTAACATAGATAGTAACAAGGTTCAATTTTTCCCAAGATGTTTATCCAATAGAGCTAAGAGGAAAACTAATAAAAGTCTGAATACCTTATATTTTTCACCTTTTCTACTAGCATCTAACTATCTAGGTGGAGGAAATCTGCTACAATTATGCTGTAGATACTCTCAGATGATGAATTCAATAAACCATAGGCTTGAGGTTTCTAATCCAATAAACAATAGGCTTGAGGTTTCTAACTAGCTCTCTTCCTTGTCAAGAGGAAAAAAATTGTTCACTCAGTACTAGCTTGCAAGTAATCTGAGTTTCAAAAAGGATGTTGGGGCAATTCTCACCATAACTAAATTAAATGCAAGTGTGACTCTAAGCAGGTGGCAGCTTTGATTTGAAATAGAGGTTTCTGTGAGATAGTAAAAAGTGAAGGGTTGACACCAAAGGGAATTAAAGGACTGATTTCACTTATTGGAGTACATTTATTTCAACCCTACATCCATTAAGGGCACTATACTGACAGTGCACGCAAACCTTTTAAACTGAGAAATTGTAGGTTCCATGAGTTCTAAGGGGTTGGGCTTTGTCATTATACTGATATAGAAATTCCAGGAAGCAATTGATTTTAAGAACCCTTCATCATTTCACTCTTACTAGATAAAAAGATACATACTTCAGTGCTAAAACAGAAACCCGATGGCATGAAAACTCTGGATTGATTTTAAAAAAAAGAATATCTGAACAAAAGACATTATAGTAGTCATGGATGAAGGCATACTAATTAGCAATGGAGCATCACGGGCTTCCTTCTTGAAAAGTTTCTAGGAAATTAAAACTGGGCCTTCACAACTAATGATTTCTGAGGTCCAGTAGAAGGTATCATAAACTTGCCAGCTTCTCCTGGAATTGCATGAATAACAGATTTATCAAATCTTTGATGGGCTCCATTTAAAAGTTGCCCTAGCTCAACATAAAGTTTTTACATGATATCTTCTGTTGTGTATATGTCAACGAGTAGAGAAGATTTTGAGAATAGAACCAGAGATTCGTGTATGGAATCTCATTGGTGGATGCTGAACCAGTCACTCTGTCGCAACACAGCTTATCTTGAAGGATTGTAGGGGGGAAAGTGCTATTTTATGAAATGTGGGATATAAACCTAATGAAGACATCAAATCACACATACTTATTCATCACTTTCCCCAATATGAAAAAAAAAATTCTCTAGGACAGAGATGTCAAACTCAAGGCCTGTGGCCCACATCCGGTCCTTAGATCTGGCTCATGGGGCTGCTCTGGAAACAGCAAAGGAGTAGCCCAGTATTGGCGAACATTTTCGGCACCGAGTGCCGAAAGGGGAGTGCACATGTGCATGGGGGAGTGTCAGAAACTAGAAGAATAACTCCCCAGTGTGGACGTGCACACACTCCAGAAAGTGGAAGAACAGTTCTCCAGCGTGCATGCACACATGGAGAAGCAGGTTTTCCAGTTTCTGGCATGCATGCGTGTGCAAAGACCACCTAGCTGGCACACCAGAACCCGGAAGAGCAACGGGCAATGGCTGGTGTGCCCGGAGAGATGGCTTTGCGTGCCACCTCCAGCACACATGCCATAGGTTTCCCATCACTGGACTAGCCCGTGGTGCCTCTGCCAGTGGCAGAGGTTTAGCAATAAAGGATAGATGCCACATAAGAAGAGGCAAACTATTTTTATTTTTGCCACAGGATCTATTTCTAGCATTGCTCACATACCTTTAGGAAGGAAAAGGCGCCATACATGGTTTTCATCACTTCTATCTTTAGAGCAAGATAGTGAAGTTGAAAAAGAAAGAAGGACTAACAAAGAGTTCCAGGAGCCTTCACGGTTGAATACAGGATTTGACACAGTGGCTACTACTACACAATTTGCACATTTGTCTGAAAACGATGTAGGGTCTCCTCTTTGAGCAGAAGGTTGGACTAGAAGACTTCCAAGGTCCCTTCCAACTCTGTATTTCATATCTTATATGAATATCACTTCACTTTGTTACAGCAGTTCATAGGACTGTATCACCTTTTGCTTTGATTACAATTGTGTTAGTGGAATGTAAAATCCTTGAGGAAGAACACAAATGCTCTTCACATCCAAGTTCACACCTGGAGATCACCACTTGTGCTCTAATTATATGTGCAAGTTCTCAGGAATACTTTTGAACATGGATGACATAAAATTCCATGATACTGATACAAAAAAGAGACCTAGGAATATAACATGCTAGCAGCAGTCTTTATGAAAATGGACTTAGTGTCTGTGTTTAT